AGGGGATCTTTTTTTGCTGCAATTATGTTTTACAATTAGAATCTGGAAAATTATTAATTTTCTTTCATTTTTGCTTTCTAATGTTTGCATTGTTTTGGGTCACACCAGGGTTGTTTGGAGGTACACCCTTGCTCAGGTGACGTTGTGGGGCCAGGGATTATACTTAAGAGCATCCACAAGGAAAGCACACAGTTCAGCTCTTGAGACATGTCCTTTACCCTGTGTTTCATATTCCTTTTTTGTATTATGTATTTAGTAATCATATTATTTACTGAGTGATTTTTTAGGAGGTTCTCACATTTTTTCAGATAACAATAGTCCAGTCACCTAATAAAAATCATAATTTTGAACCAGAGAGATGACTGAGATCTGAAACAACCAGGTTCAACCCTCAATGCCATATGGTCCTCTGAGGACCACTAGAGGCAAACCCTGAGAATCACGCTGGGAGTAGTCCCAAGCACTACCCAGTATGGCCCCCAAAACAAAAGAAGATATATAGATATGCCCACAATATATATATTTATAAAGTCTGTATATGCTATTTGTATAGCTAATGCATAATTCAACATATATACATATTTGTATCAGCTTGTATAAATGTATCATACAAATGTACATTTACATAAGTTTTCTCAAGGCTAGGAAAATGTCTCATAGGAGTCAAGCAAGACCCCTTGTACTCAAGGCCCTAAGTACTAGCCTCTGCACCATGTTGCCCCAGAAGCCTCCAGCACTAGCAGCTCAAGCACTGCTAGGGCCTCCCCTAAATAATAACTTTCTTTTTCTAATGTTTATAACTCAATAAATCAGGAAAGCAGTAGACTGCAACAGAAGTGTTCCAGCCAAGTAATTTCTTTTTATTTTCTTAAAAATAAGGGCCACACAGAACAGTGATTAAATATGTTGCTTTACCAAATACACAAATGAACAAAAGTAATTTTAAGATGTTTTTCAGGGAAAAACAAATCTGTCTCTGAAGGATGGGAAGGAGATAAAGTAAGCTTGAGAAACTATTTTTTTTTAAACTGGGGGCAACAAGAGCTTATATGTGATTGGTTAATATATAGGAGAGAGGGGATGTATTTTCCTTTAAAAAATTATCTTAACTGTTCATAAACATTAGCCCCATTCGGCTTCTTTAGATAGTTGTTAATGATTGTCTGCAATGATACAATATTTTTTATTTTTCATTCTGTTACAATTTTTTTGTTGCCCTTCTCCCTATTTCATCTTTCATTTCTAGAATACACCTATCGAAACTCAGGACCTTCAGATTATGAGACTAACGCGCTGCCTACTGCACTAAGGCCGAGCTGGGTTCGATTCTTCCGCCCCTCGCAGAGAGCCCAGCAAGCTATCAAGAGTATCTCGTCCCCACCGCAAAGCCTGGAAAGCTCCCCGTGACGTATTCGATATGCCAAACACAGTAACAACAAGTCTCATGATGGAGATGTTACTGGGCCCGCTGAGCAAATTGATGAACAACGGAAGGACCTATCTAAACAATCATGAACATGTTATATCCCTGCTTTTAACTCTGGGATTGGGGCACCAGATAGACAAGAAAATGGGTAAGGCACGTGCCTTGCACTTGGCCCACCTGGGTGTGATCCCCAGCACTGCATATGAGGACCCAACCTCCACCAGAAATGGTACTTGAGCACTGTCAGGAGTAAGCCCGGAGCACCAACAGGTATGGCCTCCAAAATAAGCCCAAACCTCACCACCCCTGAACAAACAAACAAACAAACAAACAAACAAAAAAATCCTGAAGACAATAATTTAAGATAAATTGGAGGCCTTTTATTTCACTTGTATCACTTGTCGTCCCGTTGTTCATCAATTTGCTCGAGTGGGCGCCAGTAACTTCTCCATTTGTCCCTGTTTTGTGACTGTGTAGCCCAATGGTGAATTGGTGTAGCCCGTGGCATATTCGATATGCCAAAAACAGTAACAGTAATGGGTCTCATTCCCCTGATCCTGAAAGAGCCCCCCAATAAGCCTTTTATTTATTTTTTTAAAATTCGTTGTTTTTTTTTGGCCACACCCAGCTGTGCTCAGGGTTTTCTCCTGGCTCTGCACTCAGGGATCTTATTTATTTTTATTTTGTGCAGACCCAAGTATCAAACCCGGGGCCTCATTTAAGCAAGGCAAGAGCTCTACTGTTGAGCCAGCCTTAAGTGGATATTATAAAGAAACATGATTCTCTCTATTCCCATCTCTGCCACTTGCCCAGGATAATGGCATACTGTTTCCAATTCAGCACTACTCAGTGTTCATTGCACACACTGTTCCATCTGCCTGCAACATTTCTCTTTCTACCTAGTTAACTCCGATTCATTCTTCAGAGAGCCAAATTATTGCTTCTGTTTCAAATTATTCTTGAAATCCCACCCTTCAATATGATTCTGCAATGCATCCTACAAATTCAGCCACACTAAAAAAATAAGCATTTATTTGTCCACTTGTCCCACTAGAGAGTGAACCTGAAACATGGGTATGGCTTTCTTAGTTATTGTCTTCCTAGAACTCAGCACAAGAGTTAATCAACAGATAAGTACCCCCAAAAAAAAAAAGCGGAAATGAACAAAAATGTACCTGCTCCATAGCTATCAGAATAAATATACACATACATAATTATTAAACAAAAATTTAAGGACAATGATATGGATGATCTAAAAAACAATTACTACCAATTCTAGCTTGGAGAGGGGAATCTCCAAAGTAAGTTACCCAAATATGAATTTTTCAATTATGCAAAGAAAATGTCAAAAGTCTTATTTAAGTGTATTTTACTCTTATGAAATGTATTTAAATGTGCTAAGGAACCCAGCAGTGCTCAGGACTTACTCCTGGCTCTGAACTCAGAGGTCACTCTTGGCGGTACTCAGGGGATCATATAGGGCACCTGGCATCAAACCCAGATCAGCTGTACGTAAGGCAAACATCCTACCCACTAGACTATCCCATTATTTTAAGTGCATTTTAATTCTAGAAGTTGAAGCAATAGCACAGTGAGTAGGGCGTTTGCCTTGCATGCAGTCGACCAGGGTTTGATTCCTCTGCCCCTCTCGGAGAGCCCGGCAAGCTACTGAGAGTATCCCACCCACACGGCAGAGCCTGGGGAACTACCCGTGGCGTATTCGAGATGCCAAAAACAGTAACAAGCCTCACAATGGAGACGTTACTGGTGCCCGCTCGAGCAAATCAATGAACAACGGGAGGACAGTGCTACAATGCATATTTTAATTTTATATGTATTATATTTAATGTAATGTAATATATTCAATATAGCAACATAGTAAGCTGTACAAGTACTTATAATACCTACTTCATTCTAAAAGATGCAGATAAAAAAAAGCCTGAAGATCATATCTCTAGGACAACTTATCTTAACTACTGTGTATTTAAAGGAGAAAGGATGTCATACTCCTTTGAGCATCTGATAAAACTAAGGACTAGCTCCCAGAAAAATAAGTGTATTTTTTAAGTTTCATGATTTTGAGGGTTTCTAAGATTTCTCAGTATATGCTGTGCTCTAGCCCATGTGAAGTTTTGAACTTTCAAGTATCTTCCTCCCTCAAAACAAAGTAAGCACACACTAAAATTAGAATTTGGATTCTTGGAGCTAGAGAGATAGTACAGTGGGAAGGGTGCTTGCCTTGCATGCAGGTGATCTGGGTTTGATTCCCAGCATCCCATATGGTCTCCTGAGCACCTCCAGGAGTAATTCCTGATTGCAGAGCCCAGAGTAACCCAAATAAACAAACAAAAAAAGAATTTGGATTCTTAGAAAGCATCAAGTTTTAGAGCACAATACTAAAGTTTCTACAGTTATTCTGAAACCCCTATTGCGTAAACAATAATTGCGCATAAAAAATTGCTTGTTTTATAAACCAGAAGGAAACATAAAAGCAACTGGAGTAAGCCTCTCAATTTTTGTTTGTTTTTTGTTTTGTGGCCACAACCAGCAGTGCTAAGGGCTTACTCCTTTCTTTGCATTCAGGAATCACTCCTGGCGGGCTGCGGGGGGGTTCTGAGGATCCAACCTAGGATGGCAGCATGCAAGGTAAGTGCCCTACCTCCTTTCCTATTGATTGAGCTTTCTAATCCTCTCATTTTTATAGATTAAAAAGTAGAAACCCATATCACTGAGGTACCAGGAGTAGTACACATTGAATAGGATGCATAATAGAAGGCAACCGATCTCAATTAAAAAAATATTAGCACACAAGACTCAACCCTGTTAGTAATCTCTTATACAAGGGCTCACTGGCTCCAGAGTGAGATACAACAATCTTCACATGCTTTCTCATAAGGAAACCTTTTTTGATCACCTTTAGAGAATTACTAATAACAAGCACTACAAAATAAATTATTTAAGATCTGCTATAGGGGCAGGCTTTGGTAGTGGTTCAAAATAATGTTGACGAGTAAGGTCCAATGGTGATGGGACTGGTATTGGAATGTTGAATGTACTAAATTATGGTGAGCAATCGTTTTTTTTCCCTTTTCTTTTTGGGTCACATCTAGCGATGCACAGGGGTTATTCCTGGCTCTGCACTCAGGAATTACCCCTGGCGGTACTCAGGGAACCATATGGGATGCTGGGAATCAAACTCCAGTCGGGCGCATACAACGCAAACACCCTACCCGCTGTGCTATCACTCCAGCCCCCTATTGTGAACAATCTTATAAAAATAAAATTAAATTTAAAAAAATGTAGAAAACCTGGGTGGGGTGGGCAGGGAGTGAAGGGGGTGGTGGGTATACTAGAGAGAGAGAGAAAAGTAGAAACCCAGAAAGGTTGGTGATTTGTCCAAAGTTAGATGGATTTGTCTGAAGTTAGATGCAATGTATAGGGTCAGTGTTCAGGTCCACTATCCATTCAGTACCCTTCTCTCCACATGGAGATGATTCAAATCATACCAGAACAAACAAATCACAACAGAACATAATCAAACCTAGTATTCATTCATTCTTTACCCATTACCTACCTCACTCTTCCATTAAGATTTATCTGAACATGCTGCTTAAAATCTGGATATTTGGATGCCAGATATGCAAAGTCTGGTGGTTTGTCCTTGTATCTGTTTCTTGCATGCATTGATTTACTTAGAGCCATCTTTAAAAGAAAAAAAAAAGGAGCAGAAGGGTCAGTATAAGTGGTTGCCAAGTCAATAGTCACGGCAACGCATCTTCACCAAACACGTAAAAAAATAAATTTTAAGTTGTTCACAACAAATAAGTACATGAAAAGATTCTCACTATCATTAATCACCAAGGAAACACCTCTCAAAACTTTCTTTTTTTTTGTTTTGTTTTGGGGGCACAGCAATCCTCAGGGCTTACTCCTGGTTCTGCACTCAGGAAGGAAGGAAAGAGAAAAATGAAAAAAAAAACTTGCCTTTAAAGCCTGTGTTCAAGTCCCTTGAACACATACCTCACTTTCTTGAGTCTACTCCTTGCTCTCTTCCACTCTGGAAAAGCCCGTGTTCTCTGCTGAACACGTTCTTCCTCTTTCTCTCCCCTCATATCTAAGTAAATTTTAATAAAAACTAAAAGGTTAAAAAAAAAAGTAATGAGCACTGACAAGGATATGAGAATTCTGCAGTCCTTGTGCAATGTAATATAAAAATGAAATGGCACAACTGCTACAGAAAAAGTTTGGTATTACTATAAAAAGTTAAATATAAAACCAGGTGAAATTTAAGCCAAATCAAACCACTGAAACTTATCGACCCAGTTTTGGAATTCCTGCAGCATTTGGCTGTGTATGTGGCCGGGTGACACCTCCAATTTCCACAATATTGACAGACCAGTAGGAGCACACCAAATTAGATGGGAAAGTAGAAGCTAACTATGCTCAAAAAAAAAATTAACAAAGAAGGCTCAACTAGCAACAGCTTATTAAAACCTTCAGATCAAGACTTTAATGACCCCACTGTGAGATATAACAATTTTCACAAATTTTCTTTTACTGAAGAACTTTTCAAAAATTCCGTTAGTTATTTTGTTGTAACAGTAATATAAAATAAATTATTTTGTTCCTGCTAACAAGGAAGGAGGCTGGGTGGAAGACAGGGAACACTGGTGGAGGAAAGGTCACATGGAGGGAGGACTGGTATGGGAATACTGATGAAAACAATGTATTATGAAGAACTTTATAAACCACAGCGTTTAAATGAGTTTAAAAACAACAACAACACAGGACTGGGGATGAAGCCCGACAGAAGAGTACTTACCTTGCAGGCATAAGATTCTGAGGTGAATTCCTGGTACCAAAAAAAAAGAAAAAAAGTCAAGTATAAAATTACTACTGCATAACCCCCAAACAACTGAAAACAGGGATTTAAATACCGATTTCTACACTAATACTTAAAGCAGCAAATCTCACAATAACCAATAAAGTAGATTTGCTCGAGTGGGCACCAGTCACGTCTCCATTGTGAGACTTGTTGTTATTGTTTTTGGCATATAGAATAAGCCACGGGGAGCTTGCCAGGCTCTGCCGTTCGGGCGGGATACTCTCGGTGGCTTGTTGGGCTCTCGAGAGGGACGGAGGAATCGAACCCGGGTGGGCCACCTGCAAGGCAAATGCCCTAACTGCTGTGCTATGGCTCCAACCAATAAAGTAGATACAACCTAAAATCACTGTCACTGTCCTCCCATTGTTCATCGATTTGCTCAACCAGGCACCAGTAACATCTCCACTGTGAGATTTGTTACTGTGTTTGGCATATCGAGTACATCACGGGTAGATTGCCAGGCTTTGCTGCGTGGGCGAGATACTCTCGGTAGCTTGCTGGGCTCTCCGAGAGGGGCAGACGAATTGAACCCGGGTCAGTCAGGTCGGCCGCGCAAAAGGAAAACACCCTACCACTGGGCTATATACAAATTTAAATACCAAATGCAGTTTTTAAAGTTACACGGGGTAGCAAATACCCATAGTACTTCTGAGGTGAACAAGTTTATTTTATGCCAAGTATCACTGCCACTGTCCTCTGTTGTTCATCAATTTGCTCGAGCGGGTCCAGTAACATCTCCATTTTGAGACTTGTTACTGTGTTTGGCATACTGAATACATCGAAGGTAGCTTGCCAGGATTTGCCATGTGGGCGAGATACTCTCAGTAGCTTGCTAGCCTCTCTGAGAGGGGCAGAAGAATTGAACCCAGGTCGGTCAGGTCGGCTGTGCACAAGGCAAATGCCCTACCACTGGGCTATATACAAATTTAAAATGGTAGCAAATACCCATAGCACTTCTGAAGTAAACAAGTTTATTTTATGCCAAGTGTATAGGGACACAATTAGCAATAGGCAGGATCGCTATTAGAAATTCTGAGGCCTTCCTTCACAACCCAAGTGAAGTTTCCCAATCTTTGAGGCATCCCCTTTCTCCATGTATATCAAATGCTCTGTAAATTGTAAAAAATCACATTGTGATGTGCTGCCCCAAGGCAATACATATATATCAGATAAAATTAGCTCTGAAACATTTACTTCCAGTTTCTTTGTCAAAACATCTTTCCTGATGGCTTATCAGGAAAAGAGGCTTATCAAGAATCTAACAAAAGATAAGAGGTTTATTAAGAATCTAACAGATCTTAGTGTGGTATACATAGGGTAGGGAGATTACTCATGGGGTTGGAGCGCATATTTTGCCTGCAGGAACCCTGGGACTATCACTGGCCCCACTGGGTGTAGCTCCAAAACAAAATCCAAAAGTGGCGCGCGCGCGCGCGCGCGCGCGCGCGCGCGCGCGTGTGTGTGTGTGTGTGTGTGTGTGTGTGTGTGTGTGTGTGTGTGTGAACTTCCCCGATCAGGGTGATGGTTCAGAGGGTTGGAGCATGGTCAGGTCGTTGCATGGTTCCCAGCAATCACCAGAGTGACGATTAAGCAAAATTCCTGAAGTAGCCCCTGAGCATTGCAGAATAACTCAAAAGCAACAAAAATTGAAATTCTGGAAGCTAGAGAGCTAGTTCAGCAGTCAGGGATGCATGCTTCACAAGGGCCAGGACGTGAGTTTGAACTCCAGCACCAAAGCCCCCTGAATTCTACTGGGTAAAGCCTGGGAAGCTTCTGAGTACTGCCAGTAAACCCAGAGGCTCCCAGTAACTGCCAGGGTTGGCCCTGGTGGTTCCTGGCACCACTGGGTCCAAGAAGCTCTGCATTCTTGGGTCCTGGCATGGCTTTAGGCCCGGATACCCAAGCATCACTAGGAGAGACCCCCACAAAACTGGAGCATACTTGGAGGGATCCTCCCTTAAAAAAATTTCACCCAGACAGGGCTGGAGCAATAGCACAGCGAGTAGGCTGTTTGCCTTGCACACGGCCGACCCGGGTTCGATTCCAAGCATCCCATATAGTCCCCTGAGCACCGCCAGGAGAAATTCCTGAGTGCAGAGCCAGGAGTAACCCCTGTGCATTGCCAGGTATGACCCCAAAAGCAAAAAATAAAAAAAATTTTAAAAAAATTAAATTTCACCCACACTACAATATGACGAACCCTAAAAATAATGCTGTGAAAAGTCATGCACAAAAGGAAAAACATTAACCCACTTAGATTAGGTATAAGAATTCATACATGTATGAAATAAAATTGAGGTCACAGGGTTGAGGGAGGGGGAGATGCTGTTACTGTTTAACGGACAGAGGATCTATTTATGATGATGAATAGAATATGCTTGAAAACAGCAAAATTGTGTCTTCCTACAGATTACAGAAAAGAGTTACTGCATCGACAGCAAGAAATACATACTGAAAAAGCTACTGTGTAAATTGGTGAATTTTTAAGCAGCTAGAAATTTAAAAATATGTTAGTGTGTATCCTTGGGTGGTAGGTCATTTTTATTTTACTTTCGTTCTTCATTTTCCACATTTTCTGTAGTGAGTACTCACCTAAACATTGCTCTTTAGGTGCTATATATGCCAGAAACCTAGGGGGTCACCTGATAGTCCTCCGTAACTCACATATCCCAAGAAATCACCAGAATGAGGATTTTCCATCATTATCAAGACAGCCTAGATAATTTAGAGACAGTCACGGTTTCTAAATTGGTCTCCCTAAATCAATTTATTCTCTCCATTCCTTTTTCCATCTGGCAGCAATAATTTCTATTTTGTTTTGTTTGGGGGCCACACCCGGTAGTGCTCAGGATTTACTCCTGACTCTGTGCTCAGGGATTACTCTTGGTGGGATTAGGAGACCATATGAGATGCAGGGGATCGAACCAAGTCAGCTGCGTGCAAAGAAAGTGCCCTACCTGCTGTACTATTTCTCCGGCTCCAGCAATAATTTCTAAACACAAATCTCTACGTCCTCTTCTTTGCCCACGTGTTGAAAATCTGACTCAGGATAAAATTAAAACCACATTACTTTAGAATTCATAGAGGGCCTACACCAATTGTTTCAGCATTTAAGTCATACCATCTTGCTTTCTGTCTCTCCACTCTGGCAAAAGGATCTTTACACAGCTTATTTCTTTGATCTACAATGTTTTTTCCTCCCTTCATCTGATTATCTCTCCCCCTCTTTACTATCCTCTTCAGAAATAAATGGTCAGTTAAACCCTATCTCCTAGCAACAAACAGCTTTCATTTATAGGTTTTGGTGGATATTTTCCTACACTGGAAATCTAACAGCCATTTTCAAAAATGAACTGTCTCACACCAGAACTTCACAAATCATATTCAACTGCCTACCAGCCTTAACGTTTGAGTAGCTCAAAAATACTTTATGCACTTATATCCAACTCAAACTGGTTCTCTTCCCTACTTTGTTTATTGACACCACTGTCTTTCTGTTGTTTAACCAGAATCTTTAGCACCCTTTCACCCTGCCTCAGCCATTCCAAATATACAGCCCTAAACATTCTGCCTACTAATTATTTCTTGACCTTATCCACTTTTCACTCTTCATGATTCCAGGTCTCTAGCTAGGTTATTATTTCTTTCTTAGATTATAACTGGGGAGGGGGGCAGGACGGGAGCACACAGGTGGTACTTAGTCCATGCAGCTCTGTGGTCAGGAATGAACCCTGGCGGTGCTTGAGGGACCATATACCATGCTGGGGATTCTAACCTGGCAGGCTGAGTGCACGGCTAGCGCATTACCTCCTATATTATCTCTTGGATTATTTTTAAGTCTTTAACTGATCTCATTATAACCTCTTTGGCATCTACAATCCACTCTTCACCCAACAGGTAAGTCCTCCCAACCCATGCACATCTAAACATTCCTTTATAAGCCCCTTAGAGGTTTTCTAAAGCTGTTAGTTAGCCTCACAAAATCCAAAATCACCAACAAGGCATATATACCTTTTCTTTCCCTCCACCCTCATTTGTTCATTTTCCCCTCCTACGCTATGCACCAGATATTTTCTCTGCAGCCTCACAGTCTGGTCAACCATCTGCTGTTCATACTGCTTACCAGACTCTCCTCACACTTCCACCATCCCTTCACTTCACAAAGGCCCAGCCCAGTAGGCAGGCCTTCAAATCACACCTTGCAAACCATTTCCTCAGGCAAGCTTTTACTAACACCATGTACTCAGAGATCTAGTTGATACACTACAAAGCACTCAGCAGTTTCTTCAGACTTCAGACCTTTCTGCATACACACACACACACACACACACACACACCCGCAAATTAATCATATTCTTCATTGTACCTTCCTCCCAGTAACTGGTATACAATAAAAAGTTACTGTATGAATGTTGTATGAATAACTGGGGGTGGGTTTAAATAATCACTTGTAATCACTTGGAAATTCCTTAGCACACCAAACTCACATTACCACAAAAATTCACTATATGCATTTCCCCAAATGTACTATATGCCTTTTGCCACTCACATTACCACAGAAATTCACTGTATATATTTTCCACATTTCTAACCTTAACATACCATTTATAAATGATCTGGGAAGAGGGGAACATAAAAGTAGGGCACATCAGATCACCCAAGAAAAAGTTACAAGAAAACCACTTTCCTTTCTTGGAATTTTGGCAAGCAACAACAAAAAATACTCTCTGTTTGGTTTTTTGTTTGGGGCCACAGACTGTGAAGCTCAGGGATTACTACTGGCTCTGCACACAGGAATTACTCCTGGCGGTGTTTGGGGGGCATATAAGATACTGAGGGCTGAGCCCAGGACAGTCGCCTGGAAGGCACTGAAGCCTTTCCTGAGCACCTCCACCTAAATTGTGCAGCAAATGAACAAAACCCTTGTCTCCTTTACTAGCTTCAGTCTTCCACAGAAAACTTACCATCTGGGGACCAAAGAGATAGTACAACAGGAAGGACCTTTGCCTTGCACTGGGCCAAGCCGGTCAGTCCCCAGCATCCCATATTGTCCCCCTGAGCAGAGAGCCAGGAGTGATCCCTGAGCCCAAACTCAAGAGGAGGCCCCAACACTGCCTGTTGTGGCCCCAAAACTAAGAACTGACCCAGTTCACATATCTTGTTTTTTTTTAAAAAAGTGTCCTGTCAGTTAGCTTCATAATGGAAAATATACTATATATGATGTAATTGCGGCATTCCAGAGGCTTAAATAGGTGAGAATGCAGGAGCTTAGTATTTGGTGCAAAAATCCGATGGAATTCTTCACACCCATTCTTTTTTTTTTTCTTAAGTGCAGCGCCATTTATAACAGCAAGACTGAAAACAATCTCAATGTTCAAAACAAGTCAACTGGTTTAAAAATCGGGAGTACATCAATTGTAGACAAGTCATTCCAATCAGATGTAAATGCTTGCTGGAGTTCACACCCACTCTTGAAGAGTAATCCCCATCCTGGCTTTTGAAAGGTTCCGACCGAGGAGTTTTTTCTTCCACGCCAATCAAATCGGTCCCGAGAGCCAAAGTAGTGTACCAGGAAAGCATGGGTTTTGACTGTTTGCTCTTTCCCAGCTCCTAAGTTTGTTTCCTTGGTTTCCCTAGATCCTCAATAGAACCCCCCAACTACTATTTAATACAAAGCAGCCTAGATTCCACTTCAGAATTTCGAATTCTTTCTACAGATATCCACCCCACTTCAACGCTCGTCTCCGTTTTCTCTTGCCTTCCTTCATAAATCCGATTTATCCCTTCAATATCTTCCCTGTCAGTTCTCCCTCTTCTACTTCCACGACCTCATCTACCCCTCAGCTTTCCCGCCTTAATTCTGGGTCTCTCTACACCCCCTCAGTTCCGGGGCAGCTTCCTATTTTTAACTGACCTCCGTGCCATTCGCTACCTCCTACCCCTCAATCCTCCACCACCCCAACACGCACTCACGCTCGCAGCGCGCCTGCACACACAGACACACGTCAGGTCTCCCTCCTCGACCCATAAATCCGCGCCTCTGGCCCAGGCTAAGGGAGTGAGTAATGTGTGTAATCCGTGGGTTTAGTGAACCCGCAAACAGCGTGGACGGTATGAAGTGACTCACCTCAAAGATCAAAGTTTCTGCCAGACTATTACCCTGGCGTGAACCTCTACGACCGGAGAGTCTTAAGCCACCCGCAGCGCGAAGATCCTAGAAACGCAGATGTTACGCTCTCAGGACGCCGCCATCTTAGGAAGTTACCCGGCCTTGTGATTGGGCGAGTAACTCTCGCGCGACCTGTACCAGAGTCTTCCTAAAGAAGGAGCTGTCGCGATATCTGGGCGTGGTCTCCTTTTGGCCGGGAGAGGGGGCGTGGTAGTAAATGGAACGTCTGAATGAAATCTGCTAGGGAACACAGTTTTGTTTTGTTTGGTTTGGTTTGGTTTGGTTTGGTTTGGTTTGGTTTGGTTTGGTTTGGTTTGGTTTGGTTTGGTTTGGTTTTTATGACTTTCTGGGGTTTGGGTGTGGAATATAAGAAGGGTGGGAGAAGGGTTTGCTTTTGGATTTGCTGGAAACCTATTAGTATTTATCATGCAACAGGTCTCTCGTCCTGCTTCGTGTCATTTAACCACTGCAGCTAAAACTGTGAGGTAATAGGAGAGTCATTTACAGAAGAAGAACAAGGAGTCTGAAATATTAATTCTAGTCTTAACATCTTCTGGACTGATAGAGCAGTCCAATACAAGAGAAAAATAGAATAAGATTAAAAGAAAGAACGATCTTAGGACCAGAGAGAGTACAGGGGTGAAGGCCCTGTACTGTATTCGACCAACCTTGATTCCAACCCTGGTCCCCTGAGCACTCCTAGGATGAGTACCTCAGAGTACCCTTTTCCCCTACCGCCCCCACCTCAAAAAAAAAACTATAACATTGACCCTAGAGAAAAATTTCTGAGAATGAGCCCGGTATATGCACCCAGGCTATAAAGAAAATAATCCTTTCAGATATCCTCATCTTTCCCAGTCCCTTTATTTTTCCATCTCGAATGCCTTAACCCAATCCAGAGTTCACCCACCCCTTAAAGAGAATATAAAAAATTGTTTTCCACCTACCTGGGCTTTCTACTTAAGGATACCCTATGCCTCAGCTTTTATCTTTTCTTTTCTTTCCTCAGAGTTTCTACTGCATTTTGGTGTCTCCAAGTCTCTGCTTTGAATCATGACTACTTGAGGACAAGCACCCAAGTACACTCTAACAAGCTGCTTTCAAGTTCACTTTTTTTATTTCCTCATTTGCCTCTAACTGAAAATCTAACAAGTACATTTAATTTCATTTTTTACTCAAGTATGTTAATTTGTATCATCTAAAAGAGGACAAATATTAGAGACCGGAGATACAGAATGATAGTAAGGTGCTTGCCTTACACACTGCCAATCCTAGTTGGATCCTGGCACTATGAGCCCAAGCACTTCCAGCAGTGATTCCTGAGCACTGAGCTAAGAGTAAGTCCTGAGCGTATGGATATGGCCTTAAAACTAAAATAAATAAGCAAAAGAAGATAAGCATTAGTGTGCCCATGTTATAATTATGACAAATGCTAAATGACTTTCAAAATACCCAAATCCAGTGTCAAAAGCAACTCCACACAGGCCTGAGGCCAGTAAAGTCACTAGTTCAACGCATTGGGCTGTCCCACACCCCTGAGTACAATCCACTGACTCTGCTGTTTAAGAACCCAGATGCCACAACTAAGTGTCAGCTCACCACAAATCAAATGTGTGTGTGGTCATGGCAACAACAAGAAAACTGTTGGGTTATTGTAACAGACATTGCAATATTGTTAATAACAGAGCTTTGGACCATGTTTCTACTCCACACCTACACCTAGTATACCTTGGCCAATGTCTCACCATAACTTAGCACCCACACACCTACTCTCTTGGCATTCTCATTTTAAAAAGTGAATCGTAGTTTGGGCTGATAATAACATGGGTAGGATATTTGCGTTGCATATGTCCAACCCAGGTCTGGTCCCTGGCACCCACTAGGGTGCACTGCCAGGAGTGATCCCTGAACACAGAACCAGGAGTAAGCACTGAGCAGTGGCCTAGAATCAAGCAAAAAAATTACTATATTTTGGGTTGTTATGCCCAAGTTCATCGCACCTCGATGAGATAGACAAGATACATAGAACAAAAGTTTATTTCATCATGATGGGCACAGGAATCACAATGGGTCATGGGACTCTAATCTGTTCCACAAATGATTCAGATACTGAGGTTGCAGTTATACTCTAAAACTACATTCCAAAGTGTCAGGTAAGACTATGCAAGATTATAGTTTTAAATTTATATTTAAAACAAAATATGGTTTACAGACATATATCAACAAGGCTTAACTTCATACCTCACACGGGAGCAAATTGTCTATATGGATCAGGGTCAGGGCATACTTTTTGCCATCATAGACTCTGGGGTGTAGCGATAGCACAGCAGTAGGGCGTTTGCCTTGCACGCAGCCAACATGGCCGACCCGAGTTCTATTCCTCCGCCCCTCTCGGAGAGCCCGGCAAGCTACCGAGAGTGTTGGATATGCCAGACACAGTAACAACAAAGTCTCCAATGGAGACGTTACTGGGCCAGCTAGAGCAAATCAATGATCAACAGGAGGGCCTTTACCTTTACTTTACTAGACTCTGGGGTGTAAATCCCAAAATCTGTTAGGGAGTCACCTCAGGGTCTCTTAGGGATTTATACATACAGTACAGATGATTGCTCTGAAATTTTAGGGTTTGAATCTTACAAACTTTTTTATGGGGGGGTCACACCTGGCGATGCACAGGGGATACTCCTGGCTCATACACTCAGGAATTACTCTTACCAGTGCTTGGGGGACCATAAGAGATGCTGGAAATCGAATCTGATTCAGCTGCATGCACGACAAATGCCCTACCCGCTGTGTGACTGGTCCAGCCCCAATCTTACAAACTTTTAACTCTTCCTTGGTTCCAGCACTATATGAATGATTTTTACTTTTTTTTTCTTTCTTTCTTTCTTCTGGGTATTTGGGCCACATCCAGTGATGCTAAGGGGTTACTCAGGGGTTATTCCTGGCTCTTCCCTTAGGAATTACCCCTCACAGCTCTCAGAGTACCTGTGATGCCAGGGATGGGATTCCAGTTAGCAGAGTGCAAGGCAAGTGCCCTACCAGCTATGCTATCTTTCAGGTCCCTGGTGAAGTTTTCTTGAACTATACATTATAGCAGATTGTAACAAATTGATATACACAGTTACTTTAGATGGACAGTTACTTCACCTCATCCCAACCAAAGTTAGAGAAAGTAAACAACTAAGCTAACGCCTTGTATCTATCTGTAACTACAGATCTGAAGTCAAGCTGGAAGTTTATGTGTAGGCCCTGCTTGCTGCCTTCAGTCCTCCTAGGGTAAGAGATTTACCCGTGGGGAAGATTTGTTGCAAAAGTTCATGTGTCATTTTTAATGATTTTTTTATTCTTTCTAGTTTAGAGTTTCACCTCCCCCGCTTTATTTATTTTCTTGTTGGTTCTTGGAGTACATCTGGCAGTGCTCAGGAGCAGCGCCTGGCTCTGTGCTCCCAGAGGTACTCAGAGGACCATGAAGTGCCAGGAATGTGTTCAGCACATTGAGCTATCTCTCTGGTCCTTTACCCCTTCCTACTTGGCATAAACTTAGTTTCAGAAGAGCCACATTAATCGCACAACCAACAATTTCTTTTTTTTCTAATTTTTAAAAGTTTTTTAATTTTTATTAGTGAAACACCATGAGGTACAGTTGTAGACTTACAAAGTTTTGTGCTTGGGTTTCAGTTATACAATGATCAAGTACCCATCCCTCCACCAGTGCCCATTCTCTACCACCACAAGTCCCAGTATCCCTCCCACCCCCCACCCCCCCATCCCACCCTGCCTCTGTGGCAGGGCATTCCCTTTCGTTCTCTCTCTCCTTTTGGGTGTTGTGGTTTGCAAAAGAGGCATTGAGTGGCAATCATGTTTGGTCTATAGTCTACTTTCAGCATGCTTCTCCCATCCTGGGAGGATCCTCCCAACACCCTTTATTTGGTGCTCCCTTCTCTATCTGAGTATGAAAGAACATTCTCCCCCTGCTCTCCAGCCACTTGCCTTGGAATGAAACTCCATTTTGTCTTTCTTTTGTTATTTATATATTTTGATCTGGGGGCCACACCCAGCATACTCAGAAGATACTCTAAGCTTGATGGTGCAGGAGTGCCCCGAGGGCTATTTGGTGCTGAGGATGGAGCCCAGGGTTCCACCAAGCATAGAAATGTGCTCCATTCCTTTTAGCCATCTCCTGGGCCCATTTTGTTTCCTTTAAATACATGTAGCAAACTTTGTGGAAACCATTTGTTGCAATGTTTGTTGTTGCGGGTGAGAGCCCTCCACCCCCAAGGGACCCAGCCCTGACAGCTGACCTCCACTACCCAATGGCCACCACACTCCAGGCCACTTTCTGGACCGCGTGGCCACTTTGCAGCTGCATGACACATTAGACACTTCCTACCCATTTTCCATAATTACCACACCATATTTGATGGGATTCAGACAGTAGGCAACAAAACCGTACAGAGAAATATATATATATATATATATATATATATATATATATATATCTTGGAGAGCCCGGCAAGGTAGCAAGAGTATCCTGCCCGCATAGGCAGAGCCTGGCAAGCTCGCTGTGGCGTATTCAATATGCCAAAAACAGTAACAATGATGGGTCTCATTCCCCTGACCCTGAAAGAGCCTCCAATCATTGGGAAAGATAAGTACGGAGAGACTGCTAAAATCTCAGGCTGGGAGGAATAGATGTTACTGGCGCCCACTCGAGTAAATCGAGGAACAACGGGATGACAGTGATACAGTTGCAATGGAGCCTGGTGGTCACACACATTTGGTCCCCATACTCACACATGGGATTGTGATGCTTGCACATATGTTTGCTGAGGGCTGCACACTTGAATCTTGTAGTGAGACACACTTTGTTGCGATGCACCAAGATTACACACTTTATTGAGTGCCTGCCAGTGATCCCACAGGACAAATGTTGCCAGGATTGTACTTGCCATACGTGGATTGGTTCTGGGGATGGAATTCTCAACCTCACACTTCCCAGGAAGGCACCTTTGTCACTGAGCTATCTCCAGGACCTTTTGC